ATTAAGGGAGGCGCCATTGGACTTGGCGAAAGAGTTCAAAAATGAAAGGTCTCACCATCCCCATTGGCGAATAAGAGGTGTCATGGGTTGCAGAGTAGGCGCAGGCTAGGTGACAGCCTTGGGGATGCCATGCCTGAATGCATGTAACACTATTGGAGGTGATGGGAGGAGACTTACAAGTAACAGTGTAGGTGCAGAGTAGGCGCATGCTAGGTGGCAGCCTTGGGGATGCCATGCCTGCATGCATGTAACACGATTGGATATTAAGGGAGGCGCAATTGGACTTGGCGAAAGAGTTCAAAAATGAAAGGTGTCGCCATCCCCATTGGCGAATAAGAGGTGTCATGGGTTGCAGAGTAGGCGCAGGCTAGGTGATAGCCTTGGGGATGCCATGCCTGAATGCATGTAACACTATTGGAGGTATTGGGAGGAGACTTACAAGTAACAGTGTAGGTGCAGAGTAGGCGCAGGCTAGGTGGCAGCCTTGGGGATGTCATGCCTGCATGCATGTAACACGACTGGACATTAAGGGAGGCGCCATTGGACTTGGCGAAAGAGTACAAAAATGAAAGGTGTCGCCATCCCCATTGGCGAATAATAGGTGGCACGGGTTGCAGAGTATGTGCAGGCTAGGTGACAGCCTTGGAGAAGCCATGCCTGAATGCATGTAACACTATTGGAGGTGATGGGAGGAGACTTACATGTTATAGTGTAAGTGCAGAGTAGGCGCAGGCTAGGTGGCAGCCTTGGAGGTTTCATCCTTACTTAATTCAAATTCAGTATGACCTATTTACTCTTACATTTATCAAAACACTAGTTCACTTAATCTGTCAAACCTTCCAACCTTCAAACCTTCATACAATCAAACCTTTAAACCTTCAAACAATCAAACATACAAACCTTCGAATAACTCATAAACTTCAAACATTTCAACCTTCAAACATTGCAACCTTCAAACCTTCAAACAATCAAACGTTCAAACCTTCAAACAATCAAACATACAAACCTTCGAATAACTCATAAACTTCAAACATTCTAACCTTCAAACATTGCAACCTTCAAACCTTCAAACAATCAAACGTTCAAACCTTCAAACAATCAAACATACAAACCTTCGAATAACTCATAAACTTCAAACATTCCAACCTTCAAACCTTCACACAACCATACGCAATGGCCTCTGCACCCCAATATGTCATCAATGCACATTTCAACAGTGAGACATACATTTGTCCCACCTCTGGGTTTTTGTTTAGAGACACAGACAATATCCGATTTCCTTTAAATGGGAAAGCCAATTTCTCCTACTTCAAAAAACGATTGGAGGCCAAACTTAGACGAGGCCCGGTGACACAAATATTTTATCAGAATCCAGTTTTTTTGGAAACAACCAAATAATATTTTATAAGGTTGAGGTTCAAGATGACGAGGATCTTCAGAATATGTTTTTCAGCCATGTGTATTCTGGGTACGACTCTATTGAGTTGTACATTATGCTGCGAGAGCCTCAGGTGACACAAGTGGTTGATCCTTTGAAGAACGAACAAGCAGAGGTAGATGCAGTTGATGAAGAAGAAGAAGAAGAAGATGACGAGTTAGAGTTTGATGAAATGGTGAATGATGATTCCGACGATGATGGCATACCTAGTATTCCTGCAAACGAGATCTACACACCACCTCCGCACATGACAAACTTCAACATGGGCAGAGATGAACCGTCTTCTGATTTATTTTTCAATTCGTATATGCAGTCAGATGAAAACTTAAAAGAGAAGGACAAGTTTCGTAATAGAGAGGAATGCATCAGAGCCATAAAAAAATTCCACATGCTCAACTCGGTCGATTTTAAGGTGGACCGTGTCAACCCAGAAAGGTACAAGATCAAGTGTGTCCACCCCGAATGTATATTCAAGCTCACTGCATCATACAGATTAAGAGGTGATTGCTGGGTCATAGGTTCCATGACTACCCACACTTGTGTAATTTCTACCCAATCACAGGACCATCGAAAACTTAATCACGATCTCATTTGTCAAGAAATCCCACCACTGGTCAGCAACGACCCATTTTTGAATGTGAAAACCATCATCTCCCACATCACCACAGTTTTTAACTATACTCCGTCTTACCGTAAGGCGTGGTTAGCAAAGACCAAGGCGATTGAAAAGGTGTACAAAAACTAGGAGGAGTCACACCAAGAACTTCCTCGCTACCTGAATGCACTCAAGACTTATTCTCTGGGTACTGTTTACATTCTGGAAACAGTGCCAGCATACGCCCAAGATGGTAGTCAACTAAACGGAAACGAAATATTCAGTCGAGTGTTTTGGGCATTTCAACCTTGCATCACAGGGTTTGCATCATGCAAACCAATTATACAAATTGATGGGACTTGATTGTATGGGAAATACAAAGGCACGTTACTGATGGTAGTTGCACAAGATGGCAACAACAACATTTTCCCAATTGCCTTTGCCCTAGTCGAGGGGGAGACCAGTGGTGCTTGGAGCTTTTTTTCTGAAAAACCTACGAACACACGTGGCTCCTCAACCAGATCACTATTTGATCTCGGACATACATGCCTCCATTGAAAGTGCCTACAATAATCCTGCAAACGGTTGGCATGACCCTCCTTCTACGCATGTTTATTGCGTTAGGCATATCGTCCAAAATTTCATGAGGGAGATCAAGGACAAAACACTAAGGAAAGCAATTATGAATGCGAGATATGCATTGACACAACCCACGTTCAAATATTACCGCAACGAGATCCGTTTGTCAAATCCAGAAGCCGGTAGGTGGATCGACAATATTCCGGTGGAAAAATGGACTAGGTCATACGATAATGGACAAAGATGGGAGCACATGACAACAAATATTATTGAATCGATGAATGGGGTATTCAAAGGCATACGAAACCTCTCGATCACTGCTTTGGTAAAATCTACGTATTTTAGGATGACTTCGTTGTTTGCCAAAAGAGGTGAAATATGGAATGCGGTGTTGCAATTTGGACAACTATGGAGTGAAAGCTGCATGAAGTACATTAAGACAGAAAGTGCCAAAGCCAGCACTCGTATGGTTATACGGTTTGACCGACACAGCCACAACTTCATTGTGAAAGAGACAATAGACCACAATGAAGGCCTGCCAAGACAAGAATATAGGGTCATACTACCTTCTCATTGGTGCGATTGTGGCAAGTTTCAAGCCTTTCGTATGCCTTGCTCTCATGTCATTGTCGCTTGTGCTTATACCCATCAAGACGCGCTACAACTTCTGTCACACATTTACAAATCTGAAACGTTGCTCAACGTTTACAACAACAACTTTCCTTTGGTAGCAAAACCAGATTATTGGCCTGCATACAACGGTAAAATAGTGTGGCACAATGACCAAATACGAAGGAACAAGAAGGGTCGTCCCAAAAGTAAGCGCATCACAACTGAAATGGACGACCTTGACAAGCTGGAAAGAAAGTGTGGTTTATGCCGTCAGGTCGGACACAATCGCAAAAATTGTCTGAATCGGGCGTCTTCCTCGAACACATAAAAATTGTAATACATAAAATCTTTCCTTTATTTTGTTGTAAACATTAGGGTTTTTGGTTAACAGTATTTGCTACAATAAATATTGCGCGTACAAGAAATGAAACACGATATCCGTCTACGAAATTACAACTATTAAAACAATTTCATCTGACCCATGCATCATCAACATTACGTCGCTGTCTATTTTGACTTCCTCCAACCACACATTAGGTCTTCCAATCGCATGTGAGGTTGTTGTTCGTCTTTGCTGGATCCTTCGAATTTTCCCCCCTTCACAATGTCTCCATCTAGTCATCGCATCAACTCCCGCTTCAGACGCTCCATGGAGTGAATGTGCCAAAATTTCATTTTCATCGCAGGTTTCGTGGCGAAGAAGATAACGTAATCATCTCTGGTAAAAATTATGGGCGATGTCATGACGCAAATAACAGAGTAAAAAATAAGAAAACAGTGCAAGAAAGTGTGAGAAATGACGGAGAAACAGACGAATTTTTTATAAAAACAGCATTTTGCCCTAGGAGCCAAGTGAGATGGCGCCTCCTCTCACTTTTAAAGTGCATGCGCCATCTCACTTGGCTAAAAGAGAGAGGAGGCGCCAAGTGAGATGGTGCCTAGGGCAAAACCCTAGGTGGAGGCGCCAAGTGAGATGACTCCTCCTTTGAGGAGTCATCTGAAACATGGTTATTTGCGTAATTTTTTTCGAAACGTGGTTATTTGCGATTTTTTTTAATACCTGATTATTCAAAAAAAAATTCCCATAATCAATCACTTTTATTTTATTATATTAATTTTTTACATATTATATATTATATATTATATATTATATATTATATATTATATATTATATCAAATATATTATTTATTAATATTTTTTAATCTTAATAAAAAATATAATTTATAATTTAAATATCAAAAATCGATTCAAATTAAATAATGTGAAATTGAATCAGATCAGATTTTTCATTTAAAATTAAATCAAATTATAAATTAAATAAATTTTTATTTCAAAATTGATCTAAATCAAACCACAAACAATCTTAATAATTAAAATAATAAATTCAAAATTTGCAGATCACCTCCTTTAAAGTAATATGTTTAATATTTACTTATAAATATTGCAAATATTTCAATGACTTTACAAGTTTGTGGTCGGCTTGTCATCAATATATTTATTCACTTCTGCACATAACTTTTGTTTTTGACCGTTACCAACTTTCCAATCTCCAAGGGATATAATTAATTGAGGTATATTCCATCTCAACGCGTGATATAATTAAATTGATAATGGCTTAAAATAAAACGATCCACATTCCACTCGCTTATATTTCTATAAATATTCACCTACTCTCATTCTTTTTTTGAAAACACTTAAACTCTCTCATAAAAAACCCTCTAATTATCTCTTTCTATTCTATCTTTGTATTTCTGAATAATTCTGAAGAAATAGCCATGTCTTTCTTCAACTTGAACTTGTCTTTAACGATTGTGGCTGTTTTATTATTATTGAGCACTGCAATGGCTCAATCTCCAACCAAATCGCAGCCACCAAGGAAATCAATCTCTCCGTCACCTGCTGCTGTAACTCAGTCACCAGCATCTTCACCAGCCTCCGGAAGTTCTCCACCTCAACCATTTGCTTCTACTCCGGCCATCTCTCCTTCTTCCATCCCTGGTCCGCCATCTGAAGCACCAGGACCTGCATCCAACGCTGTCGTTTTGAACAGAGTTTCAGTAGCGGCTGGATCTGCTCTAATGATTTTCGTGTCTGTTTTGTTCTTGTAGAGATATTAATTCTTCTATGGAGTTATGCTTTGTTTTTTATTCAATTTATTCATTTGTGTTATTTTTTTGTATTTTGGTTAAGATTAAATATGTTTTGATCCCTGAATTTTATTTTAATTCATATAATCATTTTTTTTATGTCTTAGTATTTATAAAATTATTATGTTTTAATCTTTTATATTAAATTAATTTTATTTTTTGAAGGATTATTTTGCAACTTTATAAAAAGTTTTTTTTGAAGAAAAGAATTTAAAATTTAATTTCTAAGTAGAAGTTTTTATTATTTTTATTACTTTCAATATTGAAGAGACTTTGCCAACATTCACTCAGAAGAAATAACTTTAAGAGAATAAATCAACATATCCTATTTTTTTTTACAAAGTCATATATAATATTTAAAGAGATATGGTTAAATCTGTAATGAGAAGTACATGTGAGATCTATGTTAACAACAAAAAATCTCATCTGTTTTTTATTTGTTAAGGAACTAAAGAGATTGAATTAAATTTGACAAGAGATCAAGAATTGTCGGTATTTCAATGACTCTTAAAATTTCACAGAACTAGGCAAGGAAAGAGCCCCAACTATACAAAAGGGATGCCAAACCACTTCCATTATCAATGGATCACCATGAGGATGAATGATGACATTAGACATAACTCCCTGGATGTGATCTTAGAGTTGTTTTTTGGAACTTTAGCCTTAGCAAGATTTTGGGAGATGATTATATGAAGAGGAGTGGAAAGATTCTTCAATCGAGCCATGTTCCTAGCTAACCAGATTGCGTTGATAAGCTTGATCATAAATTACTTGTCCACCAAAGAAACTTAGGAGTAGTCATGCCTCTATTACAAAATAACCACAACTCTTCAAGAGAGTAGAACTGCAAGTTTGTGTGAAGTCTAGAGTTGAGCCAACACCAAGTTATCTGATGTATCGTTATTGCAAACAAGCCTTCAAACCACTAGAGTTTTGAAATGAAGTATTTATATGGACCAATATTTTGTTTGTCTTTCTTTACTCCCACGTTTACTTGATTATTAGAGTGTGTTGCATGCATAAATCTCTTTTCTCCTCAACTTTTCAGTATGTCAAAGATCATTATTCGGTCAGCTTGTAGGTTCTGATCAACCGGTAAGATAAGTGACGCCAACTGTGGGGACTATCTTTCCCGTTTTCTATTCCCCACAATCTGAAGACCAAAGATCCTCCTCATTCATCAATCATGGCTGACCATGATGATCACCAACTATCTGGAAAGATTGTTCTCTCCCCGGCACGTAAGACCGATGAAAGTCAAGAACATCCTCACCTCGAAGATAACTTCGGCACCCGTGACAGACATAATGCGTCCCCGAATTTCATCGACGCTGATTGCGACAATAATTTATTCTTGGACAAACAATTTCCCAAGGACCTTGTCGAAGACCAGCCCGAGATTCTATAATCGATTCCCATTCTGCGGAACGCCGACCTAGCCATAGCAACACTGATCACTGCCCTTAACCAAACCAATTCCCTCATCCTCCAGTAGAGCAAAAGGATGGGGGCTCTAGAGCGGAAACGATCAATGTCTTCCCCTCGGAGACACCGATGACATAACTCCTCCAGCATATTGCCTCCCCGAGGTGGGCATCCTCCAAGAAAGGAAAGGCTCGACGTTTCTTTCCGCAAGAAACGTGATCGAGCATCTCCCGAGAAGGATAAAGACTCTCCGCTTTCCAAGAAGAAGAGCATGTGTAAAGGCAACCACAACAGGTCACTATCATCCAAACCGAGGCGACGAGGGTGGAGCCCCTCCCCTCGACGAGATAATGACGCCCGACGAGGAAGAAACCATCACTCCCCGCCATCATCTCCATAAGAGACCGATGACGACAACCTCCATGGTCCGTTATCGAAAGAAATTATGGAGATACGACTCTCGGTCGGGCTCGAGAAGTCGCCCCTGTTGGGATCCTACAACGATACGGTTGACCCAGATGACCATACATAAGACGTCGGCGCCCAACTTGATTACCGATGCGTAAAGGGCACGATCAAATGCAGGTTGTTCCCGACCACTCTAAGAAAAGGTATCATGGCTTGGTACAAGAGTCTGCTCGCTAAATCTATCACTTCTTGGAAATAGCTGGGAAAGATACTTTTGAGGCACTTCACCACCTCCCACTGACATTTGAAGTCAGAGGCGTCACTAGAAGCGATTATCCATGGCAGAGATGAGTCTCTGCGAGCATATATCGAGCACTTCAATAAAGAAGTCGTGCAAGTCTGAACGATCGATACCATGAAGAAGTACCTTCTTGAACAAGGGCTTCGTCCCTGCAGTGACTTCGCAAAGACTGTGGGCATCAAAATTTCAGCCACGTTCGACTCCCTCCTACTCAAGGCTCAAGTGTACATTTAGTATGAGGAGAAAGAAGCAACCAACAATGTTAGGGATTCGAGGCACCGAGAGAGTGCCAAGTACTCGAAAAATGACGAGCCCTCGATATCTCGTCGAGGGGAGAGAAGAAGCGGGAAGATAGATCCCGAGACTCTAAAGATTATAAGGGGCATGCTGGTCGGGTTTCACGACTATACCCCTCTGACCACCTCGAAGGAACGTATTTTGACCGAATGCGCCAACTTAGAATTCAAACAGACTAGGGTGCGCTTTCCTCTCCAGATGCCTACCAAGCCCATAATTGACAAGAGCAAGTACTGTAGGTTTTACAAAAGTCATGGTCACAACACCGACGATTACATCCATCTCAAAGATGCGATCGAGATAATGATCCGAGACGGGCACCTCAAGTAGTATAAGAAAAAGGAAGAGGGTACCCGTGAAGACCCTCCAGAAACCAAGAGCATTGAAGAGGAGAAGGAATCCCCCGATAACATCATCGTACCGGTTGCCATGAACATCACGCGCCAGAAGATTTCTACTCCCCAGACATGGAGGGTGTCCCCCTATACTTCTCCTCACATAGTCCTTGGGAGTATTTCCCCGCTGCGATGGTCATCTCTGGTTGAGGATTCAATAAGCACACTGTGGGGTCCGTAAAGAGAAGGTTCGATCATCTTATCAAAGCCAACTCCGACATGGGCGCTACCCTTGACAAGTTCAGGGGAGGCTCTCATCCCCTTGCATTCTACCGAGAGGAACTGTCAGGCGGAGCTCCCAACTCGATCATCCCACTGCTCGTGTAGGATTGTGTGACAAACTTCGATGTTTGGCGCATCTTGGTCGATCAAGGAAGCTCGGTGGACATCATGTACACCCAACTATTCACCACCCTCTAGCTGAACGAAACCCACCTGACCCCGTACGTGGGCTCGGACCCCCAGGGCTTCAACGAGGCCAACACCGAACCTTGGGGGTATGTCAAACTAATTGCCACCTTCGAGAGAGTGGTGACCACCAGAGCCATCAAGACTCAGTTTCTAGTAGTGGACTTCACGTCTATCTATCAATGTATCTTCGAAAGGCCCACCCTAGCCGAACTGATTGCGGTGCCCTCCACCGTGCACCTCAAGATGAAACCATATGGGAGCCGAGGAGGTAAAGATCTTCGCTGACTCTCAACTCGTTGCATCCCATGTCTGAGGGGAATATTAGGTGAAAAATAATCACCTCGCTGAGTATTGGGCCCTGGTCCAAGAAAGAAAGAAGAAATTCAAATATGTGGACGTACATCTTGTTCCCCGCGAACATAACACCCGAGCAGACATCCTGTCCAAACTAGCAATCACAAAGAGGAAAGGGGGGAATAAGCCGGTGATACAGGAAATTCTTCCTCGACCAAGCACCCAAAGACCCCATCGACTTTGGAAGTATTCGCCATAGGAGACAACGACTGCTGGATGACCGTTGTACACAACTACCTCACAAAAAGGGAGCTACCCGCTGACTCAAAGGAGGCGGTCATGGTCAGACGAAGAGCTTGCTCATACGTCCTGGTCGAAGGAAAAATATAGAGAAGAGGGTTTTCCATTCCCCACCTTAAATGCGTTGACCAGAGCGACGCATATCACATCCTGATCGAAATCCATGAAGGGATAAACGGACAACACCTGAGCATAAGATCCCTCGCCAGGAAAGCTCTGAGAGAATGGTATTACTGGCCCACAATGCAGCACGATGCAAAAGAACACATAAAGAAATGTGACAAGTACCAACGGCACGGGGACATGCACTTAGCTCCCCCAAATGAGCTCAGGTCCCTCTCTTCCCCCTGGCCCTTCGCCTGATGGGGGTTAGATCTCCTTGTGTCGTTCTTGGTAGGTATAAATCAAAACAAATACTTGATAGTGGTCATCGACTACTTCACCAAATGGATATAAGAGGAAGCATTGGCAAAAATTACCGCCCAAAACATCTTGCGCTTCTATAAAAGAAATATCCTTACTCGGTTCGGCGTCCCGCAAGAGATCGTCACCAACAATGGAACCCAGTTCACAGGCCAAGCCTTTCAGGAATTCGTTGCCAAGTTGGGCACCATCCAACACTTCGCCTCTGTCGAGCATCCTCAGACAAACGACAAGGCCGAGTCTGTGAACGGGGTGATACTCAGGGGTCTCAGATGAAGGTTAGACGAAACTAAGAAAAGATGGGTCGAGGAGTTGCACATCATACTCTGAGGCTACCAAACAACAGCGCACTCATCCACCATGGAGACTCCTTTCTGACTAGCTTATGGAACAGAGGCCGTCATCCCCATAGAGATCGAGGAATCCTCCAAGAGAACCGAAGCTCCCCTAGACAAGGACATGAACGACGTCGCCCTCCGGGAACAACTAGATATGGTCGAAGAAATCTGAACAGGAGTGGCCCTAGGAGAGGTCTCTCTCAAACAAAAATAGCCATGCGCTACGACACCAAAGTCATATGACGAGAGTTCAAGGTCGGAAACCTTGTATTAAAGAGAAATCACAAAGAATCTCGTGAAGGCAGGCTCGCAGCGAACTGGGAATGTCCCTATCGCGTCTACGCAAAAATAGGGACTGGGCGCACTGCTTAGAAAATATACAAGGGGAACAACTTGCCTGACCATGGAACACTGAAAAGCTAAAACAATATTACAGTTAAAACACTGAGCAGACGACGGGCTTCGTCAACGAGACGAACTCATCCAGGCCAGACCATACGAGTATGCCTAGGTACAAGCATGGCACTAAAAAATTATTTGAAGGGGCGAGACTCCACTCTTTTGACGAGCGAACCCTTATCCCGACATGGATAACTCGACCGAGCTCCATCGTCGTTGTACCACGCTGGCTGAATTCCCAACTCACAATGGGAAGTTCACGCCGCCTAGATCGGGTCCTCGAAACGAGACCTAAGTTCCGACTCATGCCCAATAATTATCCTGACCGTTTTTTCGGTCTTCCCACACTGGAAAACTCACTAACTAACTAGCAAAACCCCGCAAAAACTCTTAACCAATAAAAAGTGTCTCAAGCAGACAAGCATACAATGAACATGCAAAACACTACAAATATAAAAGTAACATAATCATGCATGGAGTAAAGCAAACGACCATCACAATCAGGAAATTAAGATACGACCAATAAGGCCGTGATTGTGCAAATTTTACAAAAAGGGAGCCCAAGGCCCCCATCTAACAAAGTAATCACGTGGCCGTAAAGACCACAACTATTCAAAACTTAATCGAAATGGGTTGATGCCCACAAAATGAATTACATCAATATGACACGCATGCCATAACAGAAAAAGGAATAACTGATGT